GTGGGTTTCTGAGACTGTAACTGTTTACGGGAGTAGAAAGCCCAGTCTTTCTCCGGCAGAGCTGCTGTACAGAAACCTATTAGAGCCAGAACTCCCTGGTACTGCCTTGTTTTTCTAGGTCTGAGAAGGTTTCCATCTTTGACAGGATAAATCTTAGTGTTTCAGTGTCATTTGTCTCCGTGGACATATCTAAGTTTTCCTTCTCTGACTTATATAAAATATGTTGAAGAAGATTCCTATGAAGATTCCTATTCTATCAGAGAAAGGATAAGAGATTGAGAAACACAAAAAGAGAGAGATTGAAAAAAATAATTACAACAAAGAAGAGGACTCGCACTGACTGATGATAATTTGTTTGAATTGAGGAGCGCATTTGATTCAGCTTTCTGTCCATAAAGCACACACATACACACACACAATAAAACAGTGTTTATATGTATACACATACAAGGAGGCTTCAGAAAGTGGATGGAAGAATAGAATGGAAAGATAATGGAATTTTTTCCATAATCTTTTTAAGAGCCCTCTCCTATAACCCAAACCAAACTCATAGTTCTGGAGTCGATGCCAATTCACGACAGTCCTAAAGGCCCGAGTGCAGCCACCCCGTGGACTGGGCTCCCAGGGCGATAGCTCTCTGCAGAAGCAGCCACTTACTTCTTCCCTCCATAGAGGGGCTGCTTGGGTTGAACAGCGCTGCCCTGCCAGGCCTCCTATGTATGCAGTACACATACTGCTTGCAGGCATTTTAAAGAAGATAAACGACAATATTAATTGTAGTGCTCTCTGCAGGTGGTGTGAAAGGTGAGTGTTATTTTCTTCCTTTCTGCACTGAAAACTATTGTATAATAAGAAAAATGCATTTTTTTTCATGCTTTAAAAATTCATCTTCCTGCTTGTAACTCCTTTCCCGCTGTTGGATAAATGTACAATAACCTACTAAAGCCAGCTGCCTGTGTGGCCACAGTCATTTTATTGTTTTTCCAGAATGTTCCAAAATAGTTCTGGAATAAGACCAGTGGGACCACCAGATAGCTATCTAGCCTCACCCTTCTTCCCATGCAAATGAAGACCAAGGCTCCAATCGAGCGTTGTCAGAAACCTCTGTGGACCCCAGGATAACAAGACCCTCCCCCGTGGCTGGAGGAAGGCGGGGCACCGCTCAGGACTCTCAGAGCCAGCTCCGAATACCCACTGCAAAATACGCCTGGAGCAGCAGTTGCCAAAGACAAAAGGCTCCACCTCCAGGGTAGAATCTCTATTTGAAGTGTTTGTAGACACAGGTGTTCTTCCAGGAGACTCAAGACCTACAGTGTGGGCCTGTGTTGGGCCAGGAATAGCTCAGAAGGCCCCTCCTCTGCAGGCAGCTCTTGAGGACTTCAGTGTATGTTCTAACTATATTTGGCAATGAAAACCAAAAGGTCAGTGGCTTTACTTGGGGGAGGGGGAAGGCTATTCCTGATTTATAATCCCTGCTTCAAACCAAGACTAAAAAATTTTAAACTCAGTTCATTTATTTTTGCACTCAATGAAGTTGAGGGCTGAAGCCATTCTCCTTCCCAGCCCTGCCAGCCCTCATGTAAATCTTCCACAACCACAGGTGCAATTCACCTAGCTAAGCCATCCTGGTATTGGAGGACATTTGGGGACGTCTGGCTTGAGAACCCAGATGTTAAAATTATCCCACTCTACTCCCCATGTCTTCATAGCATTAAAATAGCTTGCAGCTTTGGGTACAAATCCAGACTGCACGACGTATTACTCACGGTGAGATCTTGGCTGAGTTACTACTGTAGGTCTCTGAAGTTCAGTGTCTTTGTCTATAAGCAGAGATAAAGACGCCTACTTCACAAGGCTGCTGTAAGGACCAAAGGAGATAAGGTAGAGAGAGTAGCCAGGAGAAGGTCTGACACAGACTAGGTGCTAAGAAAAGAATCTGTGTTTACACCTCCCCACTCCTGCCCTCCACCTTTAGCTGTTCAGCCAAGGTGTTGGCTTTTCAAGAAATCACCCCGTGCCCCGTGTCTGGTTACAAATAGATGGGACCATTCCCACAGCCAGCAACAGTAGCTAAAGATATGAGCTATGACTGACGACTACTCCTGAGCTGTGGACAGGTCAAATCGGCTCACAAAGGACTCATCACGGTTGATAACAGAGGTGTTGTTGGCATCAGGAGGCCCCACCCTGATAGGTTTCACTACCTTATTTAAAAACCGAAAGAAAGAAAGGAGGGAAGGAGGGAAGGAAGAAAAGAAAGTTAAACTCTTCCATGCTTACATGAAGGGTCCCAGGGTTTAATGGAGAGTCTCAGTCAATCCTGAATTCTCACTAGACTGTTCTCAGAAGGGGCTCTGTCCCTGCAGTCTTGTCTCCAGTCACGGGATTTCTAGTTAGGAAGGACCACGGCTGAGCAGCTGCCTCTTTCCCTCAAAGCTGAACTGTGCCTTCCACTTGCTCCGCATTCCCTTAAGTCCTAAGACTCCCTCCGCAGAAGGCGAGATCCTGGTTCCCTGCATAGGTAGAACAGCCCCCAGCTGGTGATCAGCCCGCCGCTGGCATTTTCGCTGCAGCCTGAAGCCCAGCCAGGGTAAGTGTTGGCTGGACGCCTCTGTGGCCATGGTTTAATCATAGGGTTTGGCTGTGAGGTGGAAGTGTCTGTGGCTCTCCCTAGTTTCTGTAGCCCCTTCCGACCACCCGCAGCCACACACTGGCACAGAAATGAGCCACTGGAATGTGTTCTGCGTTCACAAATGCCCTGTACACTTTGCCCAGCATTGCAGGCGGCTATTTACAAAATGGCCCTGAGGACACTGACGAGCCTCTGCTTCAGTTGTAGCCCCTCAATTCTGGAGAACCTCACAACAATTTATTGTTAAGCACAAGCAGGGAAATGAATGGTGTGAGGATTGATGTTGTCCCAAATAGAGGTCTCCCGTCACCTCGGGGAAATTCCTTGCACAATGATCCACTTTCTTCTCAAAGTACACTGCTTCTGTATCTGTTGTCTTCAGACCCCAGACATAGGGCCGACCTCTTTCAAAGAACTCCCTGGCCCCTTAGTGGTTCTCAACCTTCCTAATGCCAGGACCCTTTCATACAGTTCCTCACGGTGTGGTGACCCCCCCCCCCATTTTGCTACTGTTTGTTATGAATCGGGCGACCCCTGTGAAAGGGTCGTTGGACCCCCAAAGGGGTCGCGACTCACAGGTTGAGTCCCGCTGCGAAGGAGGCCTCTGAGATGCAATCGAGGCAGGAGGCCTAGAAAGGAGGAGGCTGTTCTGGAATGATTTCCATTCTCCAAACCCTCGAAGTTTCCTTTGACCAGGAAGATTTCTGAGATGCACCAAGGTTGCCAGTCTTGGTTTTCAGTGGAAAGACCGGGGGAACTCGGTGGAAAGGACAAGTATGTTTCTCTCCATCCTGGGTCTTGGAATGGCACCAGGGGAGAACCAAGTCATAAATGGGTGCCCCTGCCACAGGTGAGTGTCCTGAACAGACCATTGCACTGTCCCCTTCGACCCTCTCAGATGGAAAAGCCTGAAGCCAGCAAGGAGAAGGAGGGGAGGAAAGAGAAAAAGGATGGCGGAAGAGAAGTAGGGGGAGGGAGGGCACGGGAAAAGAATTTGGGGGGAAGGAGGAAGGAAGAGGGGAGGCGGGACACAATGAGGGCCCGGGGGCTGTCGGAGAGGCACGGTTCCGGCAGCACGTCCGTCCGGCCCGGCCCGCCTCCCGCCAGCCCAGCAGCTGCACGTGGCGCAGCGTGTGGGCGCTGAGTCACTGTCCCAGAACACGGAGCTGCCGTGCAGGTCTGGGGGGGAGGCCGGCCCCGGGTGGCATTCTGCAGACAGTTTTTTTATTCCCGCTCCTCTTATGAAGGCTATGTGCTGACTCCCACGTAGGAGCAGGGTGTACTCGGTTGCACGTCCGCCTGCGGGGCGCGGCGGCCGCCTGGAGGCGCTGCGGCCTCGCGGATGAGCCCCCGGCCCGCCCGGCTGCTCGCGGCCAGGGAGCACTGGACTGGGCTTGGGGACCAGGTCTGGCTGGGGTCTCCCGGAGAAGGTGTCGTGTCGCCACACTTTGCTTCTCACTTTAACTCCCGGGGTAACCTGGGGGAACTCCCTCTCCCCCCCACCGCTTTCCTCTACCCCCCAACCCCCCACCCCTGGCTTAGAAGGGAGGAGGCTACCCCAACTCACTCTCTCTCTCTCTCTCTCTCTCTCGGGCACGTTTCTCCGCGCGGGGCGCCTGCAGCAACTCCATAATTGGGGTGCTGTTGGGCAACCGGGAGGGTCCCTGTTCGCCGCTGCTTTAGGGCCGACCCGGGCCCGCCGGGCTGCCCCGCGAGGCAGTGACCTCGGCGGCCTTCGTGAAGCCCTGACCACGCCCTGGGCACACGCTCCGCACACCCGGCGTGGACGGCCGAGCTCATGACCCGCTCACCGCCCCCCCCCCCCAGGTCCGGTGCCCACAGGGCGCCTCCGTGGGCATTGGTCTCGCAGCTGGGAGGAGGAGGGAGCCCCCACTCCGGAGCCTGTGCTAACAGCCCGAGGGCATCCACCCCCAGCCCCTGGAGCCAAGAAGGAGGCGGCGGCAGAGAGATACGACAGTTTATTGGTTTGCTATTTCGCGTATCACCCATTTACCAGTCTCTGGTTTCCACACGCACAGACACACGAACTACACAGCCAACAACGTTACACTTCACTGAGACATTCTATGAAAACGGGGAGGGAGTAAATACAGTTGCTTTAAAATGCCCTTAATACAATATACACCGTACAAAAATAGCTCTATATTGGGAGTTAGGAAACACGTTAACAATCACAAACTTAAATAGTGATAGTGACCTCTGTATGTACAACACGCATTGCACTTTTCCTCTCTAGGTTTTGGGAAGTTCAAGTAATCGCGAGGCTCGTGCCCGATGGATGGGGTGACTCCCCTTGAGAAACCAGTTTGTGGGTGAGCGGGCATGGCAATGGCTCAGACCCCTGCCCCGGAGGCTCTGCGTTTTTCGTTCTCAGTTTCTCCTCTCCGAGAGAGCCTGGAGTTCCTCAGCCCCCCCGCCCCCCCGGGGGTGGGTTAAGGGAGGGGGGAGGCCAGATCCAGGTGAAAGGAGCCCAAGAGGAAAAGCGACCCCTGCGAAGCCAGGACTCGCTGCCAGGCGGTGCCTCCTCGGCTGGGGTCTTTGCGGGACGGTCTCAGTCCCCAGCGGGCTGCCGGGCTGGCGCTGCGGTTCTGCGGCCCCTGGCGCTTACATCCGGAGGAAGGCGGCAAGGACTTGCTGCTCCCGGGAGGCTGGAGCGCTGCGTGCCTTCCGATTCAGGGACAGCCAAGTCCAGCCCGGGACCCGACCCGGGCCAGCCTCGGTCAGCGAACGCCGGCGCCGGCGCCCGTAGCCCTGGGGGCTGATTTTGTTTCTGGGGGCAGTGCCGTCCTTGTCCTTGTCTGTTAGCTGGTAGATCTGGTGCGCCAACTTCTGCACCGTGCAGGTCCCAAAGCGGCAGCCGAAGCCTCGCAAACCCTGGAAGTTGTTCATTGACTGGCGGTAGCGTTTGACTCGAATGCGGGAGGCGTCGGGATTGCTGGGGAGAGGAAGGCTGAGATGAAACCCCCATCAAGGAGGGCTTTGGCCCCAAGCCACCGAGACTAAGCCACGAGAAATGGCTTCCCCCCCATCTCAGCTGCCATGCAGCCCGGACTCTCCCTTGACCTGATAACCCTCCCCGCCAACACCCACCGCTCCCGGTGAGGCACCCAGCGTCGTGTACCTGGTCTGGAGGCTGGCAGAGGTGTCCTTGACGTCCTGGAGTTGCACGAGGGTCTGAGCTGGCGCGTCCTTCACAGCAGCGAGAGCGGTGGAAGAGCTGCTGGCCACCTGCAGATCCCTCTTCCCACGACTTAGAGTCCACTTATTCCATCTGGAGAACACAAACAGACTATATTTGCATGTGTCTCGGGGAGGTCCTGGCCCTCGCCCGGCATCCGACCCCCGTGGCGATCCCCCACCAGAGCGGTCCCTGCCCTCAATCATTCCAACTGGAGCCCCACGGCCAATTTGCCTGGTCTGCCAGGCCCGAAGGCTGCGGGAAGGGCTGCCCCAACTCACTTCTTTCGGAACTCCGACGCCACGTCGAGTCGCGCGGCTTCTGCGCCGAAGAAGGCGAGCGAGCCCAAGTACACCAGGGCGACCGGCACCAGCTTCATCCCGGCGGCGGCGGCGGGGCGCAGACCCCTGGGGACCGGACAGAGCGAAGAGCAGAGGTGAGCACCCGGCCAGAGCCAGCGGGCGAGGCGGGGAGGGAGGGAGGGTGGAGGGTGGAGGGCCAGCCCGGGCAGACCAGCCACGCTCCGCTGGGCTCAGCCTCTTATCTCCCAGGGGCGCAGAGAGGCGCCAACAGGCGTTTGCGCCGGCCGGCCGGTAACAGACCCCGAAAGCGAGGCTGCTGCACGGCGCCAAGGCGCCCAGGGGTTCCCCACTCCACTTTCGGGAGCAAAGGGAATTGGATCTCTACCCACCGAATGGGGGAGGGGAATACAGCCCCCGCCTAAGACCCTCCAGGGTAGATAGTACCCCTGACTCACTCGTGGTCCCAATCTCCAGCCTTAGCAAGGGAACCCCTTAACCCGCGAGGCTCCCCGCACCTACCTGCTGAGGGCGAATCTGCCAAAAATAGGAGAAAGTCAGAGACCAGACTCTGGCAGTGGGCAAACCCCAGAGTCCAAGTCCGACTGTGACGAGAAGTGAGAGGTGGTAAGAGCCGAGCTCCTCTGCCTGGTGTCACCAAGAAACCACCGAGTGGCCAGCTCGGTTCCTCGGGTTTTATAAGATCGTGGGGGCGGGGCCTGGGCGGCCTCCCCCACCCCCACCCCGCCCCTTTTTTCCCCTCCGGCGCGCGCGCGCTCCTGCACTCCCGGTGTGCGCACTGCTTGCCAGTGAGTGTGGGGCTTGGGGGAATGGGCCCCTCAAAGGGCTTAGAGACGGCCCCCTAGGAGATTGGTGCAAGAATGCCATAAGTCTGAGCCTGGAGACTGGGTGATGGAGGGCGGATACAAGCTCCGGGGGTCCTTTCTCTTGAGGTCGTCGGCAGCCCAGAGAGAACAGGTCCTGTAAACCAGCCCGGAGTAACCGCAGAGTTGTCCCAAGTCCCGGGACTAGAAGCCATGCTAGTGGGACTGCACCTCCTGTGGGCTTGGCGCCTGGCCAGGTTTAGACTCCAGCAGACCCCCGCGGGGCAGCAGGGGGGGACAGCAGTAGGGGGGCGGCGCTCACCACCATTCCTGAAAACTTCCTTTTCCCTGGATCCCAGGGTGGGTTTGTAAGATTTCGCAAGCAGGGCAGGGCTACTTTGAGAATTAGGATTTGGAGTGGGGAGATATCAGCATATTTAAATCTCACACGCCTATTTGGAAATCTAGGAATAACCAAAATTAAGAAGATGCCGATTCACCCCCTACGCCCCTCGAATCCAATGATGCCTTATAAGGTTACAACCCGAGGGGATTTTTGTGGGGTTCTTTTGGCCTGGCTGTCCTCTCTCGAAACCTCCAATCACCCATCGTGAACGTGAGGCTTGACTGCCAGGGAGAACACGAAGGCTTCCTTCGTGTAGGTGAAGCGCTACAGCGTTCACAAAGCCCTGCCACAGCCCAACTTCTTTTGATCTGCACACCAACCCTTGAGCTAAGCGAGCAAGGCAGCATTCTGCTCCCCACTTCGCCTCGGAGGATCGTGACATTCAGAGAGGGGGAGAATCTTGCCCAAACCGTGTTCCAGCTCGGAACCAGACCTCTACAACGTGGGTGAAATTCTTCTAGGCTGGGGTCATCCGCATGTCAAGGGAGAGAGGAATCCCAACCCTCACCCCAAAATTGTGCCTGTTCATGATGAATCAAACAAATGTGTTTGTCACCTGTACTCTTGGCTGCTGCTTGGCTTAATTTTCATACTTCTCATCAGGGGGGTCCAACTGGAGACAGAAGGCTCATTGCACCCTCCCCCTCCCCCCACCCTCAAACACACACTGCTGCTTATATGTGGGTCTCCGGGATCCTGTTACCTATTTACCTCAGCCATGGGTCTGAAAATCTCTCTCACCTACATGGAAAGGCTGAGGTGGTCAGACCGCTGGGGCTACTGGTTGTCAATTTAAAAATCTGTGACAATTTGCTGTGTGAAGATGGGTGAGTCATGTTCCCGCTCTAGTTTCCCCATCTCTAAGCAGACCTCTCTAAGACATGCATGTTCAGAGACTGCCCGGACCTTGACCACAGCACGGTCCGGACAGCACAGTGCTGGCTCAGCCACCGTCTTGCTCTCAGGACAAATGTGGACATTGCACCTGGGGCCGGAATGGCTTCAGAATGGTGATTTATTCTGAGGACTCTTCCTTCCAGGAGGTAGTCATCTGAGGGACTGAGTTTCAGCTGAGGGCGGGGAGCAAATTCATGCCCTGGGCTCCAGTAAGGACTGAGATACTAACCCCAAGTCAGCTGTATGTGTGGGGAGGGTGGAGTGTGTGCCGCGTAGTGAATTTGCCCAGCTCAGGCTGACTTCCTGGCCTTAGGGCATTTTCAGAAGCCCATCGCTTCCGGCTGTGGGTCTGTTTGCACTGCGCACCTATTCTGTTTCCAGAAGCTTCCCAGCCTAACCTATTTTTGCTGCTGCCCCTCATTTTCCTTCTTTCATTTCCTCCCCTGCGGACCAGGCTCTTCACACGGACCCTGTCCAGAACTGACGTCAGTGGCTGCCACCTACTTGTCACCAACTTCCAGCTGGATGCATGCCAGGACAAGTTTTACTTTCATTTCCTTGGCTCGCACCCCTGGCTGCAGAAGAGGTCAAGGACAGCTGGGCGCTGGTTCACAGCCAGGGGAGGTCTGAACGTGTTCTTTCCAACCCTGGGGAACTGGTTTCCTCACGGAATCCTTCAGGAAAGCCCCCTCTTCTGTGCAGGACACTGGGCTCTTGCGCAGAAGGCGCTGATCGTGGAGAAGAAGCGGGTTCTAGGTGCAAACTTGGCTGTTGCCTTCAAGCAAAACTCACCCAGGGTGGAATTTCGGCTCTGCTCCACCTTCCCATGCATATGTCCTCAGCAGTGTCTCAGTGCCAGGAGTTCCCACCTGAGAGCATTGGCACCAAAACCTTTCACCCCAGGTGCGCTTTTGTCACTTTGGCACCTGATGCTCCCACAACCCTGCCAACTAAGTCCTGGATTGGCAGCATCGAGAATTTTGCCAGTACACCTTTCTCTACAAAAGTGTGTGTGTGTGTGTGTGTGTGTGTGTGTGTGTGTGTGCGCCTGAATGGGCTACAGGGACAACAGTCCCTTCCAAATAGGGAGGAGTTAAATAAAAAAATAAGGTAAGGAATTTGCTAAATCTTGCATGTTAGACTGCTAATGACAAAGCCTACAGTTTGAAACAGCCAGCAGCTCTATGGGAGAAAGATGAGGTTTTCTTTTACTCCTGTAGCAAGTTATCTCAGAAACCCACGGAAGCCGCCCGCCCTGCCTTCTGGGATCAATATAGACTTGGAAGGGACTTGACGGCAGCGTTTGCTTTTGTTGTTGTTTTGCACCGGTGCAGTCTCGTGTTCGCTTACTTACTCATCAGGAAGATGAAGGAGCCGCGATCTTGCACTCAATGACGGGGCTAGAAGGAAACTGCGCGGCGAGTGTTCTCCGGTGGTTTGTTACGCCTGCGTTGCAGTCCTCTCAACTGTTGAGTCACACGGAGCCCGGGCAGTTCAAGGAAGGAAGGAAGCGAAAGGGAAAAACAGCCTTAAAATCTCGCAAGAAGAGGAATCCTTGTGATAAGAAGTGTACAAGCCCCCAATAAAAGGATTTTTAAAAGAAGAAGAGGAGGGGGAATCCTAGTAATGACAGTCAATTCTGTGTGTGTATGTGAGTGTGTATGTATGTGTGTGTGTGCTGGAGAATCCTAAGAGGGCAGAGGGTGATTGTCCTCCAAAGCCCTGTGAGAGATGTACATATCTGCTATCATCTACATGGATGTCAATACAAATAAACCAAAGGCTTCTTACACAGTGTGTCTCAATTTCGTCACATTCCACTGCAATTATTCTTAGGCCTTACATTTGACCTTTACCCTGAGTCATATTTGAAGCTAAAAAAAAGAAAAAGGAGTGAACCCAGTCTCTTAACGGCATTGAGAACATAACTTGAGTCATTTAGAAAATAAGAAACAAAAAGTAACATTCCTGATATTAATAAGCATGACTAAAACATAGCAGCTAAGTGACTTGCATAATCATCTCAGATGGTTTTTGTATTCTAACAGGAAATTTTTATAATACACTTGTTATTTGTAGTATAAAATGCCTTTGTTCAGCTGAGGGTTGGTTTATAGAGTCCGTTTGCAAACAGGGTTCAAAAAGCATCCTGAAGTCCTAACTCCAGTGGCTTAGAGAAAGGACATCTTTAGCGTCTCCGACTTGGTCCCTCCCTCGGAGAAGGAAAGAGGCCACAAAGTTCAGAGCATTCTCTTTTCAAATCTTGGTTTCCCTGAAACTAAAAAGAACCAAACTACTCACTGCCATTGAGTTGATGCCGACTCCTGAACTTTCTAGAACTGCCCCCTGTGGGCTTCTGAGACTGTGACTGTACTGGAGTCACTCCTGCTGAGTGACTGGTTCTTTCAAACTGCTGATATTGCAGGATCCTAGCCCAATGTGTAACCACCAGCCACCAGGTCCTGAATTTCCCTAAAGAGCTCATTAAAAGAGATTTTTTTTTTTTTCAGAAAAAAATTTTTTAAAATCAGTTTAAGTATACAATAAGCTACTCTTTCAGGGGACTGGCCAAATTGTGTCTGGTACAGATTAGAAAGCACTCTTCCATCTTTTGTTTCTATCTGGCTTGGAGAAGTGAGGGCAGGGAGGACATTAGTCTCTCTCTTAAAACCAAAAATAAGTCTCTCTTAAAACCAAGTTGATTCTGACTCGTGGTGACTTCACAAAGGACAATTAATCCAATTACCCCATACTTTCTTGCCTGCATAGAAGCAGATTGCCCGTCCTTTCCTTTGTGGCATCCCTGCGTAGGCCTTAACTACCAACCTTTAGGTTAGTGGCTGAGCACAAACGATTTACCCCAACCATTTGCACATTTCCAGGTCTAACATTGTCTGGATCATTGGACTGAGAGAAAGTAATGATTTTTTGCTCAGGCACAAAACAAACCAAGAGCATTAGTCCTTATACGTGTTGAGGCCTGAAGACAAACGTCCTGAAATTTGAAGAAGATAAGTTCCACAGAGAAGGTGGAACACATATAGAAGCTTGCTACACTAATAGCTATTACAGAACAAGGTGAAATGGCTTCCTGATAAATTTACTACCAATGGCACAATGAATGGCATTAGTGAACAGATCATGAAAGAGGTGATTTATGATCATCCCTAGCAACTGAAAAGTTTAAGGAGAGCAATTATCAGGACACCTGCCTCCTATGGATATCCTGCACAATCAGAAGAGCAATTGAAATGAGCCAACTCTGAGGTATGATTTGAAAGCTCATTCATTCTTTCAGTAGGAATTTAAGCATAGATTACATGCACAGCACTGTGCTATATGTAGGGGGTAAACTGTGGTAGGTCTCTGTGCTAAGACTACGGGGTTCTGATGTTCTAAATGGAGGAAAGCACATTTGGAGGCCAATTTGGTTGGGGTTGGAACGTAATGGGTAAAGGCGAGGATGGCCATGGGATGCGATCAAAGCAGTCATTGGGGTCATAGAATAAAGGACCATTGGAATCATATTAAAGATTTTACATGTTCTCCCTGGTGACATGGGACACACCTTACAGATTTGAGGAGAGATATACGTATATACTCATGTATAAGTTGAGTTTTTCAGCACATTTTTTTGTGTAGTTTTGTGGCAAAATTAGGTGCCTCAGTTGATATTTGGGTCGGCTTACACTAGAGTATATATGGTAATTGTACATATATGAAGGCAGGCATGTCAAAAAGTATTGGTACTAGGGTTCCAGTTCATAGATGCTTAGATTTATTGCAAAGTATATTTAAACATGACTCTGATATTGATGGACAGCTGCAGACAAGTTCTCTCAGTCATAGCCTTGTCTTAGTCTCTTTACGGTGCCTGAAAATAAAAGTGTTCAATCAAACTAGTGGTTCTTCTGAGGAGATGTGCTGGACTAGTTATCTTCATGGCAAAGAGGTCAACTCAAAAGGTTATGGCAGCTTGCTTCTGGGATTCCCAAGGGGCCATCTTGATTTTCTCAAAGGACACAGGACAATCACAGAGGCTTGTTAGGAAGAAGTTTTTGTTTTGGGGGTCTTTTTTTTAGGAAGAGGTTTTAAGGAAATGAAAATCTGCATTGATGATAAAAAAGGCCAGGAAAGTTACACCAAGGAAATTCTTAAAAAAAAAAAAAATCAGAACGATGTACTTGCTTACTTTTCATGTATGTTGGGAAACCTTACCACATCCACCCTACAGCCCCAAGGATCTTGCTCCTTCAGATTACTTTTGGTTCCCCAAACTCAACATGGAAATGAACGCCATCTGAGGCACTTGCAGCAGACAGAGCTGCCGTCTGGACATGGGGTAAATCGAGGAGAGTGGGATTCTATGGGGAAGGGCTTGAGAGATGTACACGGTGGCTCCAGAAGTGTATAAACCCAGCTGGAGGCAATTGAGAAACAATAGCTTCATGGTTCGTTGTTACTGTTTAATAAAGTTTTGTTCATTTAATAAGGGTTTCTATGATTTAAGAGCAATACATTTGGACTCCTCGGATTTAAATGATATGGGCATGGTGGGTCAGATTTAAATGTATATCTTGGATGATGAGGAAGTGTGTCTGGTAGTGCCAGAAGGGAAGCGGTGCCATGGCGGCACCTGGCACAGTGGGAGAAGACCTAAAACCATCGTCACTGAGCCCACTCCAACACAGAACAGCACTACAGAACAGCGCAGACTTGCCCTTTGGGTTTCCAAGGCTCTAATCCTTAGTGCACCAGTCTGCCACATCTTTCTCCCGCAGAGAAGCTGATGGGTTTGAACTGTATCTCTCTTCAATCTTTAAACCCTCCCCTTCCTCTCCACTCCACCTTAACTGGTCTGAACACAGTTTGCTTCATGGACATGCCATCTGGTCCGTCCGGAGGGTTGGTGCTCAGAAGGTCCGTCCGGAGGGTTGGTGCTCAGAAGGTCACGAGGCTTGGATCAATGTTCTGCTGCCATGGTTTTGAAACTCTTGTAACTCTTGAATTGGGATGGTTTCTATATATTCATTTTGCTCTGGGCCCAGCAAAGTATATAGCTGTTCTTTTTCACCAAATAAACAAGCATTCAGAGAGAAAACCTGAAAGATGTTGTAAACAATTCAGCCCTATGAGGATGGATATATGGTTTAAAGTGGTTGGTTAAAAATTACTTCCACACTTTGCAAAGTTGAAAACAAACAAAAAAACACAAAACAAATAAATAAGCATTCTAAGTAAAAGCAGCTTGCAAACTCACACAGCACCTAGATACACTTAGCTGCTAATATCAGTTTCCATCAGTCATTGCTGGAGCCTCCTCCACACTTCCGAAACATATCCTCTGGCTGTTTGTTCTACAAGTTTGATTTTAAGACAAAACGAATATGCCATTCTTAAACCAGGATCCTGTCTTTACGGTCTACCTATATAAAGTTTGGAACCACTAATGAAACAGGGAGACCAGTTAAGAAGCTACTGGAATAGTTGAGATGAGTGTTCCTAATGTGTTAGAGCAGCGGTTCTCAACCTTCCTCATGCCACGACCTTTCATACAGTTCCTCATGCCAACCATAAAATGATTCTCGTTGCTACTTTGCTACTGTTACGAATTGAGCGACCCCTGTAAAAGGGTCGTTTGACCCCTCAAAGGGGGTCACGACCCACAGGTTGAGAACCGCTGTGTTAGACTGATGTGATAGCAGTGAGATTGGAGAGAAGGGGACATATTGGGAAAGCTGGATGAATAGGACTGAGTGATGAAAATGGTGCTGAAAGAGAAGCAACTCTCACAACCGGGAGTCGACTCAGACTTATAGAACAGAGCGACCTTATAGAACAGAGCTGAACTGCCCCTGTGGGTTTTGAGACTGTAAATGTTTACAGGAGTAGAAAATCCAATGTTTCTCCAGAGATGCCCCAGGCAGTTTTGAACTGCAGACCTTGTGGCTTGCAGGCCAATACAGTACTATGCCTCCAGGGCCCTTATATTTCCTGCTTAGCTAACTGAATGAAAGGAGATCATGTAAACGACCAGGAAGTTTCTCGCTCCTGCTAGAGCTTCTTTGTTATGTATGGATGGGTCTGTAAAGACCATTTAAAGACACCCAGGCCTGCCTATGTATATTTGGTTAAATCAAACTCTCCTATAGCCTCTCTCAACTGTAGTGGCTAACCACAGGAAGCACTTGAAATGACTGTGATCAACCATTTAACCTAGGACAGCCCTGCTGGGGGAGCAGCAGGCTGATAAGCCTTGCGCAGCGGTAACCAGTTCTAATTCTTCTTCTCAGGCAAAAGGAGAAATGTTGCTCTACATACACTATCATGGTATTGCACAGCCTGCTTCTCTTTCTGCTCCTGCCTGCCTCCAGCGAAACAGATCTGGGCTTGCTGTAGTCCCTCTCGCTTTTGTGAAAGGTAATGGTGATCTGGTCTTTGGCCAACCTCTGTAATCAGGCTGCCTTTTCAGGGTGTATCACTTTGGGGCAAGCAGGCAGCTGTCGGTTGAGGAGCAAAGCTCAGCTCCAGAGGATGCTCACTATGTTCACACAAGGGCCTTCGCCCACTCACCCCCTTTACCGTTCCCCCAGCCTTAGAGCTAATTCAGACTCACAATGGCCCAACGCGTGTCCGAGTAGAACTGCACACTGAAGGTTTTCAATGGTTGATTTTTCAGAAGTAGCTCACTAGACCTTTTTTCAGAGGCAACTCTGGGTGGGCTTGAACCTTCAACCTTTCAGTTCGTAACGGAGTGCATTAACTATTTGCAATACCCAGGGACTTCTTGATGGCTGGCATAATAGTGCCCAGACATTGGCAAGGCTGTGGAGAAACTGGAACCCTCGTGCACTGTGGGTGGGAGAGTAAGATGGTGCAGTCGCTGCAGAAAACATTTCGGGAGTTCCTCAAAAAATCAAACACCGAATTTCTATGTGAGCCAGCGATCCACTTAGGTATATAGCCCAAAGAACTGAAAACAGATCCTCAAACAAAGATGTGGAAGAAGATGCTTATGGCAACACTATTCACAATAGCTCAAAGTTGAGAACAATCCAAATCAATGGATGAACGGATAAACATAAGGTATGTAATTTAAAAGGAATGAAATGTTGATGTACACTACAACATTAATAAACCTCTGACATATTATACTATTATATGAACATACTAATATATGAAACATACCAAGCACAAAAGACCACACATGCTATGATTTGATTGATATGAAATATCAAGAATCGGTAAACTGGAGAAGGAGAAAGGAAATTGGTGTTTGCCAGGGGTTTAGGAGAATGAGGATGGAAAGTGACTATTTAATACCTATGTTAAATACCTATACCTACTTAATAGGGTTAGGGGTTTCTTTTGGGAGAAAGACAGGCTTTCTACTCCCCTAAAGAGCTATGGTTTTGGAAATTCATGGGGACAATTCTATCTGATTCTATGGAGTCACTGTGAGTTGGAATTGGCTGATGGTAGTGAGTTTGGTTTGGGTTGATGGAAATATTTTGGCACTAGATAGAAGCATCTGCTATAGAGTTTTTGAATATCCTAAATGTCACTTTAAAATGTACACTTTAAAATGATTAACTTTACATGTGAATTTCACCTCAATTTTCAGAAAAAGAAAGTAAAATGGGGAAGGAACAGGAGGGCTGCCTTAGCAGGCTGAAGGACTATCAAACAAAAGATAAATTTTATTTTCTCTAGTTCCTTCCAGAGAGCAGCATCAGGAGAAGTGACAAGAGGACAACTCTGACACAATTAAGGGAGAACTTCCAACAATAGCGCTATTAAACATTAGAAAGAGCTGCCCCCCAAGGAATTAAGATTACTCTTCCCTGAAACTGATCTTTAGATAATGAGCTCTCAGGAAAGTCAGAGAATGCATTTCTGCCTGGATTTGTGGTGCCTTTCTTCTCTTAGTTGGATTATATTTGTTATCTTCAATACCTGCAATTGCCCTGTAACCCAGGGTGATTCCGCTTGACCATTCGCAATACAGAAATGAGTTCCAAGCCGTCCAGTCTTCCTTGCGGGCATTTTCAGTTATTCTTCTGCCGCCCAATGCTCTCAATCTGTAAATGAAGAAAGTGTGACACTCAAGGGCAGGGACTAGTCAGTTGGAGCCCACCTGCAGGAACAGAGGGACCTAGTCGCTGATGAAAAATGTTTGTTGATTTACGGAAGGAGTCCCTGGGTGTAGCGAAGGTTGGAGTCCATCCCAGTACATCAATGACGAAAGACCTACGTCCTAAACTCAGCCCTGTGGAGCACGGTTCTACTTGGACATACATGGGTTGGTATCAATTGGCGCCTATTCTAGGGGAACTAGTTTTATTACTATTTTTAATGCACCTTTTCAGAAAGCGCTTACATGCTATGTCAAACCTGTGACAGCCTTGCGAGCCAAAGCTCCGGCGGTTAGGCCTATAGATGCGCCAAGAGTCGGAAGCCACTAGATGGTAACGCGTTTCGGCTCGCTTAGCGATAAGCGATCACAAGGAGAATCATCACCTTTGCAACAAACGGAAATTCCCCAAACTTTAGTCTACCACTTAGTTGTAACATAACTCTGCTACTCAAGCATCATTAGAAAAACAAACAAACAAACCCAACAGCCTGCTGCGCGCCATTTGACTCTGACGCTTAGAGACCCTACCCAGGATGTAATAGATCTGTCCTTTATGGTGCCTACGTAGGTGGAAAATCTTAATGGTAACCGACTGTCACATCTCTCTCCCGCAGAGCGACTAAAGAACTGTGAAATAAAATTTACATTAAAAGTGGGTATTTTAGTTTTATTTCAAGAGACGTACTGGTGGCGCTGTCGGATAAGCGTTGGACTGCACATCGGAAAGTCGGGGCTGTCTGGGTAAAGATTTACAGTCTGGGAAACGCTATATAAGATCGCCACGAGTCCGAATTGACGCGCCGGTGGTGGGTTTTGTTTTCGGTTTTCGTCAAAGTGCCCCTCAAAATGAACCCGCCAGCTGTTAGATCCCCGTTCTCTCCCATGACAGCGTGTCCCGAGAGCAGAAGGTCACAAAACCATCAATTTCGGACTGAGAAAGGCTCGCGCTTCTTTCATCTGAATTTCTGAAGATCCTGGGAATCCAGGTGAGTAGCGGGGATGATCTATGACAGCAATTCCCAGTCTTCCTAATGCCGCGATCCTTTAATACAGTTCCTCATGTGGTGGTGACCCCTCAACCACAACATTATTTTCGTTGCTACTTCATAACGGTCATTTTGCTACTGTTATGAATCGGGCAACCCCTGTGAAAGGGTTGTTTGACCCGCAAAGGGGTCGCGACCCACTGGTTGAGAACCGCTTATCTATGCAGTTACTTAAAAATGTTAACTCCCTAAACCCGAACCCCATGCCACCGGGTCCATTCGGACTCATCATGCCCCTCTACAGGGTTCGCAGACTGCTTCTTGACGGGCCGACAGACTATCTTTCTCCTACTGGACCCGAGACCCGCCAACCTGGCGGCGAGCAGTCCCACGCCTGTTGCACAGCGCCACCAGGCCTCCTTAACGCTAGCTCAGTAGCCACGAAATCCTCACCCTGGAAATCGGTATTCTTTAAGCACAAGTTATTCGTGTGAATTCCCCGTGCTCTAGATGCCTTTTCCTCTTGCATGACGAAACATTTCTCCGGTTCGCAACGTTTTAAACTAAATCACAGCGCTATCAAATAATTGTCTCCTTCTTCGGAATCCATAGACGATTGTGCTTTTTAAAACTGTTATTAACAAGTGGTCAAGCAAAGGGGATCTGGCGTCTATCTCGTCCCAAGTGGAAACGGATCGATAAAGAGGTGCCGCAAGAAAAACTAAGCGATCTGGATCGGAGGATATAAACTTGGAATTCTGTTCATTGCATGTTTGAGCGGGAAGTGGGGAATGACCACCTGCCCGGGCTGATAGGGAAAAGAGAAAGCAGAGGATGGGGGTGGGGGGCAGATGGGACCCTTCCCTCGGCCTCTTGAGCACCAACCCAAACCGGCCCGGCCAGGCCCAGGAGGATCCCGGGGATGTGGAGTTCCTGAGTTCTTCCATGGACTCCTGGCGCTCCGGGGGAAGCCCAGGCTGACCGCCCCCGGCCCCCCAGCAGCGCAGGCCGGGCGCCCGCGAAGATTGCGCAGAAGCCTCGCCGCCCCCGCCCGCTCCGTGGCGTGTTCCTAAATTCCCAGCCGCGCAACATAAACAGGAAACGTGCAGCAAAAACCCTGGCGGTGCAAATTCCATACTACCAGCCGAGGGCGGGAGAAGCTGGCCTTTTCTTTTCTTTTTTTTTTTTTGGG